TGTGTTGCTTTGATTTTCTGTGTTTTACAAAGCTCAGCAGCTTGCGTTTCGGGCGGTGCTTCAGGAAGGCAGGGAGCCTGTCGTTTAGAAGGTCCAGGTAGCTGATGGTGGGGCCAACTGTTTTCTCTTTTCCTCTCCACCTGTGAGGTCCCTGGCATTCTACTCCATCTTGCCAGAGCCACTAAACTCCAGGGTGAGGGTTAAGTGACTCAGGGTGAACTCTGAAACTAGAAGGGAAAATTGCATCCCAACTGGAGAACCAGAAACTCGCTACAGTGCTGCCCATTTTTGGGACAGCCACCAGCCACCCCTCCTCAGTGGCTTTTTATAATTATTATTATTTTTGGTGGCCCGCATGGAAACACTTGAGTGGATTCTCAAGGCGGCTGAATGACTCCAGTTGTGCTAATGGGGCGTGACGCTATCGGAGCTGTGCATGCCAGCAGAAGCCTCTAGATCTTTCAAAGGAAAGGGAGCAGGCCCAACCCTGCCACTGCCTCTACTTGAATGTTGGCTCTTCTTGCAGTGCCATGTGACGGAGCCGCCGTAACTGGGTCAGAGTGTCAGGGAGGGCCTCTGCCTGCCGCTGGGTGGGAGCAGCTGCCTGGGCTGGAGATGCAGCTGTTGCTGCAGAAGCCTCCAGGTGCACAGAACTGGGACTGGGCTCCGCTGCCTTTCCTGAACGTCCCTGGAGGCGCGAGGTGGCGGAGATGTGCCAGGCGCCGGAGCCAGGAGGGTGTGGCACCCCCTGGAGGGCCACCCCTTCCACGCCGCTTGCCAGCGTTGAGTCCCGTGCTTGGGGCCTCCGCAGCCCTCCCTGTGCAGGGACACAGCTGGTCACACCTGCTGAGCCAGGCTGACCTTCCCAAGTCTGAGCTGTCAAAGGAAGCACAGATGGCTGCAAGTGGTGGTCCTGGTCTCCAACTGCACATCAGAATCAGCTGCGGGGCTTTCTGTATGCTCAGTGGCCAGAGATGGACGAGTGTTCCTGGAGGACAGTGTGGCAGCCAGACATGCCAGCAGTGTCATCTGAGTTTCTGATGTACAGCTGAGGTCGAGAACCACTGGCTCAGGCTGGCTGCGGTGCCCAGTACTTAGTAATCCCAGCACTTTGGGAGGCTGAGGAGGGAGGATCGCTTGAGGCCAGGAGTTCGAGACCAGCCTGGGCAACATTGCAAGACCCTGGCTCTACCAAAAATTTTACAAATTAGCCAGGTGTGGTAGCACACACCTGTAGTCCCAGCTACTCAGAGGCTGAGGTGGGAAGATCGCTGGAGCCCAGGAGTTTGAGGTTACAGTGAGCTATGACGGTGCCACTGCACTCTAGCCTGGGCAACAGAGCAAGACCCTGTCTCTGAAACAAACAAACAAATGCAATATATAAATATAAAGCAATCCTTAGATGTTAAGTTTTATGAGATAGGAAAATTAGATTCAAGACCAGCCTGGGCAACATAGCGAGAGAACTCATCTCTGCAAAAAGTATTAAAAAATTAGCCAGGCGAGGTTACAGGGAGCTATGATCACACCACTACACTCTAGCCTGAGCAACAGAATGAGAGTTTGTCTATTAAAAAAAAAAGAAAGAAAGAAAAGGAACCACTGGCCCAGAGGGACTGCAGACAGACATTTGGCACTTTGGATGAGAACTTGCATTGATACTGTTCATTCTCATGTGCGTGCATCTCTTTAGATGCGGAGCTCTGGACCCAGGGTGTGTGTTTTCTGTATTCTCAGAGACACACATGTGCCTTGAACGTAACAAATATGGCCTTTTTATGATGGGGACGGTGTTGCTGATAAGAAAAGAAGAAACACCCTGTCACGGCCTTGCTGTGGCTGGGACTTCTGAGCCGTGGCTCCAGCTCAGAGCTGGCTTTGCCTTCGAGTCCACGTGTCGTCTCAGCAGAGGTGGGCGTCCTTGAAGCTAACGGAGCTGAGGCTTTGCCTTCCCTCGTGGGCCTTTCAAAGGCCTGTTCTTAATTTTATATCCAGATTGTACATTCATTTCCTGGGGGGGGGGGCGCTCCAAATCATGTAACTTTCAGGGCCCGTGCGACAGATCCTGCACCTCGCCATGGCTGTCGTGACGGGGGGGGGGGGGGGCACTGAACGCTGCGCTCACAGCCCCTGGGGTGCCGACTGCCTCTGCGCCTCCTCTCCCTGTCCGGGCGCTGGCTCAGCCATGCTCTGGAAATTTCTGCTGCTCCTGAGCTCCAACCGAAGGCCCAACCGCCTACTGGTCACAGTTCCTTGGAGGCCCCATGAAAACTCCAGATTTGCACGCCCCACACTGCACTCGCTGTCAGCCCCAGGTCTCCTCTCTTCTTAGCGTCCATACTCTGGTCCACCTGAAGCCTGGTGTCCCCCTGGACTGCCCTCCTCCTCTCGCTGCCGCCCTCTCCCCGACACGGTTGATGACTAACCCCACCTTCTCAACGTCTTCGGTCCCTTCTCCGCTCCTGTTACTGGCCTCCAGCCCTGCCAGGTGTGGCCTGCACTCCCGTAACGATGCCCCGGCTCCCCCCATCCACCCTCCACACAGCTGGCAGAGGACAGCTCTGCGACAGAGCAGACCTGACACGGACAGGCTGCTGCCGCCTACAGAGGATGAAGTCCTCTTGGCAGAGACCCCAAGGCCTCTGGGAACCAGCCCACTCTCCTCTCACCTGGAGTTCCAGTGCGGATGGCGCTGTGTCCCCCTATTCTGCTGTCACACCACGTGGTCCCCTTACTATGCTTTTCGTGCATATTGTTCCTCCATCTGCAACACTCTGCATCCCTGAAGATGCTCCCTGCCCTTTGCTTCCTCTGTGAGGACTTTTCCCTCCCTCCTTGAACCCACCACTGACCCTCATGGACGTCTCTGGTGGCACTTAGACCCGGGCTCGGTTGTCACACACATCTCTCTCCCTGACAGACGGGGCAGGCCTGGGGGACAGGATTTATGTCTCATTTATCCCAGTGCCCAGTGGTGTGCTTGGCACATAACAGGAAAACAATGGCCATTTTTGAATGAATGAATGAGTGAATGAATGAATGACGGCTCTGATAGCTCCATTGTCTTTCAATCAGTAACAGGCCTGGGAATTCCAACTTTCTCCTCAGAGGCCACGGCAACACAAATTATTTAAAATAACAACACAGTCTTGAGTTGGAGCCAATGTCCTGGAAAACCATATTGACCTTTTAATATTTTCAATTCACCGACCTGGGTAAGTTGCAAAGATCATTATAAATTCACTTATTCGATGACCGAGTATTTGTACTTTGGCTTCTTACTTTTCCTTATCTGGAAACCCCTTTTAGAGTCTCATACCAATAGTTAGAATTTCCTGAGCGCTTGCTAGGTTTTACACACATCAGGTGTTATCTCATTACCGCCTCAATCCTCATTAGAACCTCAATTAGAGAAATAAAGACAGTTCAAACGTACTAGTAATCAATTGAACCGAACAAGTACGAACACTTGTTAGCGTGTCTTTCAACAAGCTTAGAGGGAAAGGAGGTTTCAACCCTGGATTTTAATGAGCTCTGGTATAGATCTCAATTATCCACGTGGGCCTAGGTCTTCCAATGCCGTGGGCACGAGAGAGCTGGGATGTACCGCTGCCAGGATTTTGTGAAAGGCTCTAGGAATATTCCTGGCTTTTGCACACAGAAAAAAACAGGCAGACTGAAAAGAGAGTAGACGTAAAAAGATGGAGGGAGGGGAGAGAGAATTCTAGAAGAAAAGGCACAGTAAATTAAGGCCACGTGGAGAAAAGGCCCAGGGGAAACAGGGAGAAAGATACAGGCAGAAATAGGTATATAGACCCTACGACCTAGAAAAGTCAGAACACGGGGTCCGATTCAGTTCTTGTTGCATATAAATGGAAACTGAGAGGTTCGGAGATAGCCACACACAACACACCCCTCTGAATAGTCCCCAGTGAACAATTCCTCCATTCTTTGCTCAGCTTCTTCTCTTAAAGCATAACTGACTCACTGATCAACTGAGTGAAAATCCTCCCCAACATAAGGCTGTTTTTTCCTCTACCCACTTAATAAAGAAGCCGGCTAAGGACCGATGTTAAGTGCATAGACCATGATCAACTCAGATATGCAGGGTGGGTTTCAATCCCGTTTGTGGATACGGCGGCTTGGAAAGCAATCTGGAATGACATAATGGCCCCATATTGCTTTCTCTCTGCTAAACGCAATGTGGTTTTGACAGGCTTTTAATACGTATTTCAGGTTTGAAATTGCATCCCGTCTCCCTGTCTCTCTCTGCCAGAGAATGACAGCACTCGCCTCGAAGATATTTTCCCATTATAATTTTTCAATTTGTTCTGGTCTGAAAAATGTGTGTAAATGAAAACAGAAAATTCAAACTCTGTGGCCCCTTTACACAGTTCGTTCTGGGTGTACCAGTACTTTGCAGGTACTTCTCTGCTTCCCTTTCCTCTTTGGCAAATGACCTTGTTTTCTGATCACTTCCACTGTGCCAGAAAATATTTGCCGGATTTCCAGGAACTCTTCTTTTTATTTTTCACCTCTTTTTCACCATAATCTTTTATTTTATTTTATTTTATTTTTTTTTAGCTCTTCCACCTCCCCCTATCCCATCCCAAAAACCTTTGGGAGAACTGAGATCGGCCTCAGGATTCGAGAGAGATGCCGCTTTATATTCCCAAAGTTATACAGCCTCCCCCAGCCCCCAGGAAATTAAGGAACATGACAGCCCCTCAAAATTTCTTTTGCCCATCTTCTCTGGGGGGAGGGGGACTTAAGCCAGTCACCTTACTTTAAGTAATTACAACAGCTCAGGTTTCCTTCGAGACAGGGAGAAAAAATACTAACGCAGGGAACTCAGAACGGATCGCTGTGGATAATTTGTATACACTTAAATTAGCGGGGGATCGGTGAGCCCGTAGGCTGCATGGCGCTGGCAGTTTTACTCACTCCCACCCCTGTGTTCCTCTGAGAGCCATTAACCCCACGTGAGAGGACACCCTTACCTTCCTTGGCTTCACTTTGTCGTGGTAGTCATACTGGAAGATTCCTTTGTAGCTCAGCCCCAGCCACCACGGGATACCCTGCTTGTCCTAGGATGCCGAAAGGAGCTTGAGTAAGTACAGGGCGGGAGAAGGACAACACCAACCAAGAGGAGATTCCCAGCTCAGCCGAAGACAAGTGAAATCCAATTTCCCTGGAATGGATCGAGCCCACCTGTCTACCTTCTACCTCAACAGGTGTGTCCAGTAACTAAAGATGCTCAGTTAGGTGAACAGGGGGACATGGGAAGTGCCCGGGGCTGGGGACTGGGCTCTGTTCCTAACCAGGCACACAGCAGGGTCCCTTCCCCTTTATAAATAAGGAGCAAATGCCCTGTTCTTTTTTTTTTTTTTTTTCTTCTAAGACTTTAGGCTTTGCACGCTGGGCCCCTCACTCACCACCAAGGAAAATTTGAGAGCTGTTGCACATTCTTATAAAAGAACCGTCTGAGCAGAGAAACTGTCATTGGTTGTCAGAGCTAGAGAGGCAGTGGGGACGATGGAAAGTGACTCCTCTCATTTTAAGGACAAATCACAGCAAAGAGCTGGTCTGGCTTCACTCAGGACCCTCCCCAGCAAGCCGATGGCAGTGCAGGCTGGAAGGGGTCACCCCTGAGGTCCTGCTCACCCCAGAGCACAGCTGGGTGCCAGGCTGGACGAGGTGGCAAAATCAAAGGCCAAACATTCTCAGAACGGAGTTGGAAACACCAAGTCCCCGTTTATGCCTTTAACAGAGACCTCCCATCACCTGAGTGTGAGCTGCAACAATTCTACATTCAGATAGAATGATTCTGAATCCCTAATGCAAGCTGCCAAATGCTAGTGTTCTACGGTGTGCGCAACCAAGCAGCTTTTCCCTAGAGATGTCCTACTTGCCAAGTCTGAATAACCAAATATGCCCCTATCCTGGGTGTCTTGAAAACTCAAAATTGGCACAATGGTTTTGAAATATTTGTGGGGTGTGAGTTACTTCAAGATGAGGACAAAGATAAAAGGCGAAAGAGACACATTTTGAAAATTTTTTTAAAGCTTCAGGGTATATGATTTCGTTTAAAAATGTGAAAGGTAGGCCGGGTGCGGTGGCTCACGCCTGTAATCCTAGCACTCTGGGAGGCCGAGGCGGGTGGATTGTTTGAGGTCAGGAGTTCGAGACCAGCCTGAGCAAGAGCGAGACCCCGTCTCTACTAAAAATAGAAAGAAATTATCTGGACAACTAAAAAATATATATAGAAAAAATTAGCCGGGCATGGAGGCTCATGTCTGTAGTCCCAGCTACTCGGGAGGCTGAGGCAGTAGGATTGCTTGAGCCCAGGAGTCTGAGGTTGCTGTGAGCTAGGCTGAAGCCACGGCACTCTAGCCCGGGCAACAGAGTGAGACTCTGTCTCAAAAAAAAAAAAAAAGTGTGAAAGGTAGCGTAAAATCCTTGTCTTAAACCCCGGTCTCCAGGAAGTACCTGTGTGCGTGCAATGGTTTCAGAGACTAGAATCAGAGGAAACCCAATGCTGGTGCAACATCGGATGGACCAAATAAGTGCTGTCATTACACCAGGAGATCACAAGGCCACCAAATGGTGAGCCTGGTGCAGGTGGGTCAGGTCTGCTTGGACTCGTGCTCTTTTTCCAAATAAGTAGCAAGAGCAACTCCTTACGCTTTGAGATTCCCAGAGCCAAGCACCCATACTGATTTGGCACTTTGACAAACACAAGCCCTGCTTCTGGGTCTCCAACAAACTGAAATAAGAGCACATTTCTAAGGTTTTACTGGAAGGCAGAAAGTATATACATATATCTCAGAGACAGCTTTTTTGTTCAGTTCTAGGGCCGACAAAGAAACAGAGCACAGGTTTAAGTTGAAAGACCAGATGGAGTTTCCTCCATCTCAAATATCCTTCCAATAATCACAAGACTTTTATAGGGGTAGTCGGGGACGAAGGTTTCTTAATCCCTCTTTTAATCACAAGAGATGGAAGTGAGCTAAAATTTAGGACAAATAGCAAAGCAGAGAATACAGTCCAGGAATTCCTAAATTTCTGGTTCCCATCCTTGAATACAGACTTCCTGGCTACACATCACCACGGAGTATTTCCACAATGGCGAGAAAAGCTCACAGTTGAATTTCTATGAAATGCCTCTTATCAAAATGTCAGAAACTATTCTTGGAGACTTATGTTTCTTTTATGGTAACAGGATGGAGAGAGGGAAGCTCTCCCTAGCAGTACTTCAGGCCGCCAGCACGGCTGAATTTTCAGCCTCTTCTCATGAAGAACTGAATTTCCTTTGGGGGAGCTGACTGCCCCCTACTGCAGTGACCACGTCCTAGGCACAGCCTTGCACAGGGTAATCTCCTTAGAGGATCCACCTTTCTATTAATAATACGGGACAGGGAAGGCCCCAGGAGGCCAGGTCACACTGCTCATGACAGACTGTAGCTTAGGGTAAGGGCAAGGCTGGTTGTGATGGCTGTGGGAGCTTCTGGAATGATGGTGAAGAGGGATTCGGAGCTTCCATGGGGGTGAGAGGAACTCTGGCAGGACATCGGGAGGAATTTAAGCATTGCAGGCATTAAACAATCCTGAGCCAAGCCGTGGGATGAGACTGGGGCCCTCTCGCATGGCTCACTGCTCTGGGTATAGTTCTGACCTGTGTTCTCACCATGGAAATGCATACATCCAACCACTCCATTCAATTCTCAAGAACATTTATTCAGTAAATACTTACTGGATGGGCACCTACTATGTGCCAGGCACTACGCTGGGTTTTGGGAATATACAACAGAATACAACTACATAGTCTTTGCCATCACAAGCCTGCAGTTTAGCAGATGCTATAGGCAATTCAGTGCACGTCAATGGCATGCAAAGTGTCATGCGAGCTACCACGGCTGGTGCAAAATGAATGAAACATGGTGCATGTTCTAGTCTAAAGGAATTAAAAATAGAGTTGGGTGGAAACATGGGGAAAGGCATTGGTGGATGAGTAAGAAAGAGAATCTCAGGTTGGGTGGTGGAACTGTCTTGAGTTCAGAAGCGTTTTCTGCCCTTTTGTGGCTGGCCTCTGGGCAACGACTTAGTTATACTTCTCATGTCAGGGTAAATTAAGGAAGGAGAAGGAAGGGAACTTGTCCTTCTCAGGGGCTCATGGGGGGGCATCTTTATCTATTGTTTCAAAGAAGAGATCCCAGCCTGGAATATTATGAATAAAATGAAAGAGAATTTAGAACGGGGTCAAAGTCAGCACTGGGTTTGGCCATGACAATGTTCAAGAAGACAGATAATGTCTTCACAAATGGTTGCGTACTCAGTTTGTCAGCCTATAAATAATCCCCGTTCTCCTCCTGTAAAGCTGCCTTTGTGGTGTTTGACCACCATGAAAAACACTAGATTCTGCTGAAGGTTCTTGTTCTTTCTCTATAGTTCCTTGCATTTAGATGGAGTCTTCCTACCAATGTGCTCTGTGGTCTCATCTGCCAAGATCCTTCTGAGACCAAAAGAAAGTTGGGATTTATTATATCACTTCATGGAAGGGAGGGTGAGTTTTGGAGAGTAACTGTATCGAGTCTCACTACACTGGGGGTAAAATGAAGAGGCCCAGCTCCTCCCAGCATGCAATCTTCGTGCCAGGTCCTCCCCATCCCCCACTCCCACCAAAAAGAATCTTCAGTAAGATCAAAAAGAAAAAGAAGTGAGAAGTTTTTGTTTGTTTGTTTGTTTGTCTTTAGGGCAGTCTTGGCAACCTTTGCCAAATGAGCTCACTTACCTTCACTGCATAATAGTGAACCCCATAGGTAGGGAGGGACTCCACGATGCTCATGTAGCTGGGAAGACAATATGCACACAAACAGGGCGGTTATTCGGCAGAACTGGAGTCATATACACATTTTTGTGTCTGTGTGTGAGAAAGTTCTCAGAGTGATTATTTACTTGCAAATTAAAATGAAACATACACCACCCCCCCCACGCCCCGCCTGGGAGATGGGCTCCATTTCCAAGAGGGATGGGGCAATCCTGACATATGATGTGTTAACACGCACAAACACAGTCTCCGTGAGCGCTGGGAAGGGCCACTTACTTCACGATTGCTTGACCTCTTGTCTGGCCGTTCAGTTTCTTATAGTGCTCAATTACTCTGTCTTCACTAGAATGAGAAGAAAAGAATTCTGTTATGAGAGTCCCCAGGTCAACGGCCAAGATTCCTGCCAGTGAGACACTTCCGAGCCTGAGTAACTTCATGAGAAGCTCCGATCTTTCTGAGAACACAGAGAACGTGACCGCTCCTTCAGCCATGGCCACCTCATTCTGTTTTCACTTAGGGCACCTCTGTTAGCCAGGGAGAGTCCATTCTGACTGTTGGCCCAGGGCCCACCTTAGCAATTTGTACCCATTCATGACATCCTAAAGGAACAAATTTGAGCTTTTCCAACATTAAAGATCTTGGAAAAGAGACCAGATGTACATCGATCACAGTGAAAGAGATCAATAAATCACCACTTCTCCCACTTTCAGTTTTGATGTGGTGAATAAGGTTAAGAGTCTAAGCACAGTTTAACTGTGTCCTCCACTTAGAGTCTCTCAAGGCTGACATCACGGTGTTGGCAAGACTGTGTTCACACATGGAGACCCAACTGGAGAAGAACCCACGTCCAAGCTCACTCAGACTTTTAGGGAGTTGTAAGCCAGGGCAAGAAAGCCAAAGAGAAACCTCCAGCAATTGTCCCTCCACACAAATACCAACTTCAACAACTATCCCTCCATCCACACAAGCTAACCAAAAATCAGGAGAACCAAAAATCAGGTGAGCAATCATACACCTGGTTTTAACATTGTAGCAGGGAAAGAGGCACCACATGTTGTTTGCAAGAGGTGCACTTCATCTATAAAGAAACACGTAGACTGAAAATAAAGAGGTGGAAAAATGTTCTATGCAAATGGAAACCAAAAAGGAGCAGAAGTAGCTATACTTCTATCAGATAAAATAGACTTCAAGACAAAAACTGTAAAAATAAAAAAGATAAATAAGGTTATTATATAATGATAAAACGGTCAGTTCAGCAAGAGGATATAGCAAATCTAAATATATATGCACCCAACACGGGAGCACCCAGATATATATATAAAGCAAATATTATGAGAGCTAAGGAGAGAGATAGACCCTAATTCAATAATTGTTGAAGACCTTACACTCCACTTTCAGCATCGGACATCCAGACAGAAAATCAATAAAGAAACATTGGACTTAATCTGCATTATAGACCAAAGGGACCTAGCAGATATTTACAGAATGTTTTATCCAACAGCTGCAGAATATACATCCTTATCCTCAGCTCATGGATCATTCTCAAGGATAGACCATATATTAGGCCACAAAACAAGTCTAAAAAAATTGAAAAAATTGAGATCATACGAAGTATTTTGTCTGGCCACAATGGAACTCTAGAAAATCAATAACAAGAGGAACACTGGAAACTATACAAACACATGGAAATTAAACAATACGTTCCTGAATGACGAGTTGATCAATGAGGAGATTAAGAAGGAAATTTAAAAATTTCTTGAAACAAATGAAAATGAAAATGAAACATATCAAAACATATGGGATACAGTAAAAGCAGTAATAATAAAAAAGTTATAGCAATAAGTGCCTACATCAAAAAAGTAGAAAAGCTTCAAATAAACAACCTAACAAGGCATTTCAAAGAACGAGAAAAATAAGAGCAAACCAAACCCAAAATTAACAGAAGAAAAGACATAATAAAGATCAGAGAACAAATAAATGAAATTGAAACAAAAAATACAAAAAGATCAATGAAATGAAAAGTTGTTTTTTTGAAAAGATAAACAAAATTGACACACCTTTACCCAGACTAAGAAAAAAAGAGAGAAGACTCAAGTAAGTAAGATGAGAGATGAAAAAGAAGACATTATAACTGATACTTCAGAAATTCAAAGGATCTTTAGAGATCACTATGAGCAACTATACGCCAATAAATTGGAAAACCTAGAAGAAATGGATCAATTGCTAGACACACACAACCTTACCAAGATTGAACCGGGAAGAAATCCAAAACCTGAATAAATCAATAACAAATAAGGGCATGGAAATAATAATAAAAAGTCTCTCATCAAAGAAAAGCCCAAGACTAATGGCTTCACTGCTGAACTCTGTCAAGCATTCGAAGAAGAGCTAATACCAATCCTATTTAAACTATTCCAAAAAATCAAGGAGAAGGGGATACTCCCAAGCTCACTCTTCAAGGCCTGTATCACCCTGATACCAAAACCAGGCAAAGACACGACAAAAAAAGAAAACTATAGGCAAATAGCTCTGATAAATATAGATGCAAAAATCCTCAACAAAATACAGGCAGCCTTGGGCCTGGAGTCCAGCCCCCGGTGACTGTGGTCTCTCGGAGAGAAATGATTTACGAGCCAAATTCAATCCTGCTATGAACTGTGCATCAAGACACGCCCTATCCTGGCCAAAGGGATCTGTTCAAACCACCTGAATGGCTGTACAGTTAGTTTACTGCCTGGAAAAGCGTCCAGACAGGACGAAACGCTAGTGATCCGTGTATTTCAGAAAGTGTAGACAGAAGCGCTCACACAAGTCATGTGTTGTAGTTTATTAGGATTGACTTGTTCTTTGTGTTTTGTTTTGTTTTAATAAAAACGGTTACAGTGATTCTTGTTAAGGAGTCAGAAGGAACATTGGAGAAGTGGAATTGTTCTTATAAAAGGACAACAACCAGGGCCTAGGAGCCCAACAGGATGTCAACACACCACCCCAGGAATGCAAGCCCCGCTCGGTTGTGGCCCAGACCGTGCTCTGGGAACCTTTCAAACGCCCGAATCATTCAGAATCAGTAATTTAGGGCCCGACAGATGAACTAGGGCATAGTGTTACAAGGCAGCTCAATCAGGAGATACGAAACACTGCAGGAAAAGAAAAGAATCCCTCTCTTTTGCAAAGAAAAAAAAAAAAAAGCCTGTGGTTCTCCCGCATCTCAAAACCCCCCAGACCCTGTCGTCAAATGACAGCGGCTCCAAACGAAACCCGAGAAGCACATGAAAGGCCCTCGAAGAAGGCAAAACTTCCAAAGTGAAATTCTAGAAGGTTGTTTTTTTTTTTTTTTCACAAAAGCAACAGAAAAGGAGAGGTCTCACCCACACCATTGCAATAAATGCAGAAAGCAGTTTCATGAAGACACCAGGTGGTGACTTAATGCACCCGGGAGTCCCGGCGACACGCGGGAGCTGGCAGAGGGTGAACGCGGTTGTCTTGAGCCCGGTTCACCGGGGGAGGGGCTGGCTCTGGACCCCGGGGGTCTCACCAGTAGGCCAGGGAAGGGTGCTCCTTCAGGGCTTGGGTGGGAAGGGCTGGCAGCTTCTTCAAGTCACTCCTCACCACTTCATTACTGCAAGAGAGAAACGCCCAGAAACGCACTCACCCCGAGAAAATAACCGCACACCGTCCGATCCAACGTGGCCCGGAGACTCGTCCCAGAGACCCCACATCTGTTCCCTTTCAATGAAGAGTGGAGGGAGGGAGGGGTGTTTTCTTTTTATTTATTTACTGAATAGAGATGGAAAAGAAAGCACAACACCCAGAGTCCCGCAGCTGCTTCTTGCAGGGCAGAAAGCAGGGCAGGGCGCCCACGGAAGACCCCAGTGCCTTTCCAAATGCTGATCTCACACAGTGGCGCAGACTGAGTGCCCCTGGGCAGCCCTGAGCAGAAATCTGGGGAGAGGAAGGGTCCCCAGGGCGCCCCAGAGGGAGGACCCTAGAAGCAGCTCCCCAGGGCCCTGCTGTTAGGCTCACAGGGTGTAAGAATGGGCAACGTCACTGCTTTCTCCTGGAGAGCCACTCGCCTTGCTACTATACAATGGCAGTTTGCTTTCCTTAGCTTGACCACCTGCTGGAAACTGTCTTCTGAAACAGGGTAAATAAATACAGGTTGAGTCTCGCTCATCTGAAATGCTTGGGAGCAGAAGTATGTGAAATTTGGTATTTTTTCAGATTTTGGAATATTTGCATTATATACGTATGGTTGAGCATCCCAAATTCTGAAAATCTGAAAAAAATCTGAAAATCTGAAACTCAAGGTGCTCCAATGAGCGGCATTTCCTTCGAGTGGCATGTCGGCACTCAAAAAGTTTCAGATTTTGGAGCATTTTGAATTTCAGATTTTCAGATTATGGAGGCTCAAAACTACTTACAAAGTGTGAAATGTACTGTCTGCTACAGGTTGAGCATCCTATATCCAAAAATCCAAAATCTGATATTTTCATATTTTTTTCAGATTTTGGGATGCTCAACTGGTAAGTATATAATACAAATATTCCAAAATAAAAAAAATACAAAATCTGAAACAATTTTGCTCCCAAGCATTTGGGATGAGGGAGACTCAACCTGTACCATCTGGTCTTGGGATCAGAAATTCTTTTTCCTGCAGACTCCCACGTGCTCAGGTTTGAAAGATGCTTCATATCGCCCCGCCCAGTTTAACCAGCCTCCTTCAAACATCTGACCCCTCTCCAGACACTCAGCAAGTCCCGATCCCCTCTGGGCCAGGCCATCTGTGGTGCTGGCGCTTACTACCTCCAGAGCCACAAGAGGCATCCACTTTGGGATGGTTATGGTATCAAAAGAGCATCTCCCCGTACTGGTCCAGCAAAGAGCCGCAGCACCTCAGCTGGGTTTGCAAAGGCTCGTGTCACGGAGCCTTGCCTTCCATCACAGCTCTGACCTGGGCCATGCTAGCAGTTTCTGTGTTGCTTATACAAAGCAAGGCAAATATTGGCCACCAGGACACTGGGAAGTACCCTCCCAAAATACAGTGAGCTAGGATCTCAATAAATAAACGTGAAGGAAGGAAGGAACACTGCAGTCACAGTTGGGGCATTCCTGAGGTGTCTGGATGGCGGACACCCCAACACCCATGCTGCTAACCGGAGCATGTGTCCATGTGTCCTGGCGGGAAATACTGCCAGTGACAACGAGATGAGCATCTCCGCCACCGCAAACCCAGTGCCCACTGGGCAAAACCACACCAACACTTTAAGTTCATTTGTATGGTGACAAAGAAACACGTGGAGGTGCAGTGACATTGTAGCTGCTCCCAGAAAGGGCATTTTTCAAGTGCATAAAGAAGCAATGACGGCCGGGCG